GGTGCTCTGCAGCGCCTTCGTTTGGCGCAGCAAGCCCCCGTGGCTACGCGCAGCTTGCTGGAGCAAGAGGCTGTTCACGGAAGCCGGAGATAGAGGGCTAGCGGCTACAAGTCAAGGCGGAGGACATCCTAAGCATTGCAGCGATGCAAGGCCGCTTGTCCTCCGGTACAGCGTCCAAGCAAAACGGAGTCTTGATTTTTTTTAAGCGAGGGGTGTGGGGGCGCAAGAGTCTAGAGCCAATTAGCTTTGCCTGTTCGATGTTGACTTTCCTATCCTTCCCTGGGTAATGCCGCCAGGTGCGATAGTCAGAGTGTTCGCTGTGAGCGCTTTGGGATTGAGATCGCTGGGTGTACCAAACGATCGGTTTGCATGGTTCGGCGGTGAAGCAGTTCGTCCGTGATGCACATATACCCTGAGCGAATCCTGGGAACAACCCAGGTTGTAGTTCAGACTCAGACTGTGAGGATAGGAAAGTTCAGCGGGTGGAGAAAGATATTTATGCGCGGGCACAAAGTGAATCGTAGAGAAGATCTGCGCTGAATCGATTCATGTGTAGAGTTTGCTGTTTTTTTGGCTCAAGTGTGGCAGTTGCTCCGAAAAGGCTGACAAGCAATCGCTTTCTCCCCACCCAGCCTTCCTTGTCAACTATATGCATTCAGTTGACCATATCTCGGTACCGAAGCGATCGGTCTGTCTGGTTTGGCCTACCTACCTGTGCAGGTGGAACTGGTGGACAGTGATGCATATATATGTATATATTCTGAGCAAATCCTGAGAGTAATCGAAGTTATTTTGAGAGATTGTGAGGACAGGCACGTTCAACGGGTGGAGAAAATGATTGCACGTGCGCCCAATGTGACTTGAAGAGAAAATCAGCGTTGAGTGATATACGGTAGTTTCCTCATACAAGCTCAAGACCCGAGATTTAACACAATCATGAGCGCTATGTCCTGGAACTCCCTTTCACCATGAACGTCAGGCGACGAGTACCCAAAGTTTCAACAGTGCAACAGTCAATGGTCTGCAGTTTCACGACCTACGGGGGAGGAGCCTGGGCGTCGGGAGCCTTCAACAAATAGTGTCTGGACAAACTTGGGAGAAGCCGCACCTGGCCGAAATTCGATGAGGTTGAAACAAGTGAACAACCTTCCGCCTTGCTCATGACATTCGGGACCTTGACGCAGCTAAGACTTCAAAGTTGAAACATCATGTACATCCGTCATAGGTCCTAGGTTATGCTGTGGTAGACGCCGCAAGGACTTGCAGGCTCAAGCCAAAAAGCTAGAGGCGCCAAATTGGCCACCTTAGCCCCAAACGATAAATCCTCAACGTTCAGACGCGAAATCCCTGCACAAGTGCGTGAAGACGACCGCATATCCTGGGTTTCACCCCTTCACAATGTAGTCCTAAGGTGAAGTTTCTCCATCCCCCGCTTACCCAGGAATGCTGCGAGCCACAACTTTGCGCATGGCGGGACGAGTTGAACAGCGCTTGGCAGAGTTGGGGCGGGCTCCTCTGATCCAGTGCTCTAGGGTATTCTAGTGTTCAAGAAGGTTTGAGGAGCTGCAAAGGGAGCACCGGGGGTCGTTGCAAGGAATTCAGAACTTCTGAAGGGATCTCGTGGGCAATTGTGCCCTTTGCACACCAAAATTGGAGGAATCCACGAAATACTTACATCGCAGAATTATGACCTTACTAAAGATCCTGTGCACAGACCAACGCGTTCATTCTTTGAGAAAGGTTGGGTTCAGGCATTTAGGATTGGGATTTGGGAGCGGAAACCAGCATGGGACAGTGGTTCAGAATTTGGAGTTCGATTTAGGATTTGGGGCTTCGGTGCTTCGGGGCCCAGACTGAAAGCAGAAGATGGGGATCGGTCGGGTTCAGGGTCTGGGTTACAAGGTTCAGTCTGCTGCATAGTCAGTCTATGTTCCCGGAACAGGCCAGCGCAACGCCTAATTGGCTTGCACAGGACCAGGCAATTCCTAGTTGTCTGTCAAAACAGCGGTCTCGCACCTAGGCATCATGCACCGTTTCAGCACATATTGTCGAAATCTACATCATTGGACTCACGGACACGGTGCCGCCGCAGTAGTTGCAGCTGTCATTGTTATTGTTGCTGCTGCATCAGGTTGTAGCAGGCGTAGTACTTGCAGCATCGCTATCATCATCATCGTCACCATCACCATCTCTTCCACCACTATCATTTCCGTAATTCATCATCATCATGCGCATCATCTCACCATCATCTCATCATCATTGTCGTCATCGTCCTGCCCATCATCATGTCAGCATCATTGGCCTCGTCATCCTCATCCTCCCCGCCAGCATCATCACTATCATCACTATCATCATCATCATCATCACCATCAGCAGCAGCAGCAGCAGCGCCAGCGCCAGCGCCATTGTCGTCATTGTCACTATGAGCATGTTCGTCACGGAAAGTCGAAATACCTTATATGCAGTCGTTAGTGGACTGGGTGAGATCCTGGCAGCCGGAAGGAACTGGGGCACGTCTTACGATTGGAGAGCACGTGCTGAAGGTGGATTAAGTTGCATCGGGTATGCATGTCCACTACAGCGGCAGCGGAGGCAGCTTGTGAGGTGTGGAGGAAATTTGCTAAGCCGGAAATCCTACATCTGACCTGGCAGCAGCGAGTGCGCCAGCGTATGCAATCTGTTTCTGTTCATTTGCCGTACCCATAGGAAAGCTGGCAGCTATCCCAGAGTGTCCGGCTTGAGGCCTGCGAGAACGTCACAGAAAGTGCACAGCTGTTTTGCACATTGGAGCCAACGTGCCCTTGGCACGGGGTGTGTGGCAGCAGGGCGATGAGCCAAAGCTCGGTCAGGAGGGATCGCATGCTTCAACCAGGGCAGGCCTGCGTGATGCTTGGTCCAGCATCGGCATCATTGGCCCTCGTGTTCTCACCCAGTGCTCCTTTGGCTCGCATAGTACCTCTGCAGGTTTTCTTGCAGCCTCCCCTCGCCCTGCGATGGCTTTCTGACGCCGCATAAGTTGCACTGGTTCTGCGCTTATTTCCAAGTGCTTTCTTGCAGCTTCCCCATCCTGTGCGGGTCCCACCAGTTTGCAAGGTCGCACGCATCTTGCCCAGAACAGCAGCATGAGTGTGATTTCATGACCCATTGTGTAGTGTCTGTGTCAAGAAGATTAAGTTTGGTGAGATCATTGCATCAAAAGCATTTTTCAATTTGGAGCAGCTTGTTGCTTTTATGTTCTTTGTTGTGTTGCAAAGACAGCTCCGGGAGTCAGGGCAGGCGAGGGCTCGGCATGAGAAAGTCACGCAAAACTGATGGAAAGAGAGCTTGGGGGCGAGCCATCTGCTGGGCATGAATTGAAGGCCAGGGTAACAGCTTTACCTAGCTGGCAGTCGCTCGCCGCTCCTGTGTCCAGGGGGAGGTTTTGGAGCACCCTGACTTGGTGATTTGCGTCCCAAGCGACTCACCCAGAACAGCACCATGAGCAAGATTTGCCAACCCTCCTTGTGCAGAAGAAATTTCAGTAAGGTGGGCCAGCATTATTCTTCGTCAAATTAACGTTACAAAAGGAATCAGCGCAGGGGCGATGCAATCCAGCGTGGATCTGCATAATTCTGCTGACCTGGGACCAGCTCAATTCGTGGCCGAAGATTGTGGATGCGCATCTCTGTGCTTTCCAACACCAACTGCACCAATACCAACCAAAGCCACCCCAAAACACTGTCAATGTTAGCATATATGAACTTGTTGCTTTGTGTTGGGAGTGTTGAAGCATTCAGGGTCGCTTTTGGACTGGCGGGGATCCAGGTGGGGCTGGCTAGGGCAGTCATCAGCAACTTCATTGGGATTTCGTTTCCTGGAAGGAGATGAGGTGGCTTTGCACTGGTTGCGTGTCTGGCTTGAGGATTGCCTTCGAAACTCTGCACCAACATGCTCCTGGCACTAGCGTATGACAGCGAGGTGATGAGCCAACTCGTACGGGCGCATGACCCTTCCATAGTCATTGTTGATGCCAGAGTGCTGCGCAGAGGTGCTTGAGCAGTGGTGTTTGTTGCTGGAGTCTGATCGTAGCATGCTTTGACAAGCAGCTGCTCTGAGACTTTTGTCCTGCATTTGTCAAGAAAGGCAGCTGCAATCATCGAGCAATGGGTGTGCGATTGAGGGGCCTGAAAGGAGGGAGTACGGAGATTCATTGTCTTCCTCAGTACAAGGCTGCTTCGTGATCTAGCAGGGTAGGGGCCCAACACAGCCGAGTCGAGACCGTGTAGACCTTACAGTTTTGAGCGGAGGTCTTAGGAAAGCTTGATAGCCGTGTAGCACGGGTTGGAAATCCTCTTCGAGCCTCCCTGCAGCGCCTTTTCGTAAAGAGTCGCCGGACTCACGCAGCATCATGAGCATCAGCTGCAGCGCGTATGGTTACTATCTATATGATTTGTTGGAAATACATTCCCCCAAGACAGCAGGCCAACAATCTCAAACCTATATCCCTAAGACATTCCTTAAAGCTTGCACTGTAAATCCCAAACCCTGGGCTGGATGCCAGGTTGACTGTACCCGAAGCAGCCGCGCCAGCAGCGAACTATGTGCCATGGGCCCGCCAGAGCCTCAAGGTTCGCTTTGGGAAGGTTTACCAAACTGGAGGTCGAATTAGGGACCTGACTAAGCATGAACACACTGGCTTCTGGAAGATGAACGTTATGTGACTGCCTGGCCGTTGGTTTTGGATGTTGTTTGCTATGTATTGACATAAGCATTGTTACAGGACAGAGTCGAGCATTTGCTTTCGATCATCATAGTGCATTCACGCTAATCTTGCATAGTCCGTTGAGGAGCTGATATGCAGCGCTCAGACAAGAACTGAACCTTATAGACCTTAATTGAGAAGGGAAGGTGCAAGCTTTTAGCGGTCAGATGCGGTCGGCATTTTTACATTCAACACTATAGGCCTCTGCCAGAAGAAAAAGCGTCCAAAGCCTAAACTCCCCAATCTCCTCCAGCGCCAGGAAGTGGAAACCTTCTGTTCATCTCGGGACAAATCCCAAAGCAGCCGGACAATTCGCTCCTCAAAGGCTATCTTACGGGAACTGGTTTCGGGTTTGTAGGCGATTTAGCGGTTGGGTCTGGGCTTTGGGCTTTTGGATCTCGAGCTTTGTGCCTTGGTGAAAGTGAACCGAACAGGATTTTTTGGCACGCGTTACGAGGATTCTGCAAGGACGACACATGGAAACATTCTGGGGACGTCAGATTCTTGCGGGGGTTAGGATGAGTCCTGTCAAGCCAATCTCGTCAAGGCCTTTTCATACTTAGAGATCCGAAGCTTATTAACACCCGGGCTTTTTCAGCCTCCCTCTTGACAGCACCGACAAGCTGCTGAAGCAGCCAAGATGTTGATGCCAGTAAACCATCTAGCGCCTGTGAGGGGAGAAAGTGTCAACTGTTCTCCAAAGCCATTTTTCCGCATGTTTTCGAGAAAGCATCAGGCCCAATGTCCTCAAGCTCAGCCGTGTCCTTTGCGAGACAGCTAAAAACACACGAAGCATGTTCAATGTCCCATACTGCTGACTCTCCTGGCTTCCTGAGCTTTGCTGACGCATGTTACGCTTTTGGAGGTTGGAGTTTAGGGCTGCAGGTTTCAGGCTATGTATTTGCAAGCAAGCTTCCAGCTTTTGCAAGAATATGCTGCAAATAGAAAGGTGCAACAGCAGTTCCTCAGGCACCTACCAGCTAATTCGCCCTAAAAAGGCACGTTGGGAGCCACATTGGGCATTGACGAGGGAAAGGCGGGGAATCAAGGGGATTGTGGAGTCCCTATGCAGATGTTTGGGGATCTCAAGGATCTTGTTTTTCGGTGTTGGATCAGAGTTTCTTGAAGTTAGCAGAATATTCAGGTTCAGGTTAAGCAGTTGTCCTTTGATCAGGAGAAGCCTGTCTTTCCTCATGTGCCTTGTATGATGATATAAGTAGCTCAATATTGGAGCACTACCTTTAATATGTTTTTGGTTCCTGGGTTCCTATTATAACAACTTATACCTAAAAAGTCTGTACTTTGTTTCTGGGGTGTACTCCAAACTAGGGGTAGTAGCCGACCCCAGGTCAATCATTCCGCCTTTCCTGCTTTGTTAGTTGCAGGCATCAAGCATTCCCCCTTGAGCTAAGCCGGTATTCTCAGAACTTGCTCTTTTTGAGCTATAGTCTAAAATCCTTAAAAAGGGGTTACATGGGGGATTATATAGGGGACTAAGATAGGGCTGAAGAAGGGAGATACTAGGAGTTTAGACTATGGCTCATATGTCATGAAGTGATGTCGCCCCCCTGCATGCATGGACATGAGCCGGACAATCGCTACTAGGTGCATCAAGCCTCAGAACGGCCCACGAAAAAATCCTTCATATAGGCACACATGCAATGAATGAAAGTTTGAACACCATGTCCTCAGTTGCCAATTCTTTTTACAAGACCGCCGACCAGTGTCAAGATAGTGGGAAGCGGGTCGACCTTCGCCGCTGGGCCGCGCCCAGCCAAGGACCGAGCGCCTGAGGGTTCAGGAGTCTGGAGCTTGATATGGCATTCTGTTGCTACAGCTACAGCCTCAAAGGATGGATTGAATTTTGATGTTTGCAGTGACTTCTGCTACTGCCGATTGTGCTATCTCTGATGTTGATGTTGCTGATGCGGTTTCCGTTTGTAGCGTTGGTTCTTTTTTGCTGTTGCCGTCGTTTGTTGTTGTCGTTGGCGTCGACCTCGTCATTGTCACTGTTGCCGTCGACAACGTGGTCGTCGTGGCCGTCCAAGTGAAGCCGGTCAGCCAAAACAACTGCTTTGACTGCTTGGTCTCATTCATCTGATGTGATGCACCCAACCTGGCGGAACCATGTAACTAAACGTGAAAATCAAGGCACCCATGAAACAAATGAGTCAGCACTCGACCCTGTGTATGCTCGTAGAAAGTTCAACTTGTACGGAGGAGCCGTATTTGGGTTTCTATATCTATCTGAAAGACATGCGCAGAAGTCCCTAGACCCTTTCGCCCTCTGCAGGATGCAGGAGGCTGAGCTGCACGCGCACGACTCTCAGCTTCTTGGATGTTTCAAATGAAGGGCCCAATTGTTGTGGAGATCTAAACCCTTACTACTTCTGCTGGGCAGATGGGGATGCGCGTTTGATGGGGCCATGCTCATTCTGTTTCCAGAACCTAAGAGACGTAAAAGTCTAGAACGCAGGGTTTGCATGGGAACACCCAAGTTGAACTTCGGATCCAGTGAATATTGTCTCCAGATTTCATCAGGTGTCTGGGGAACGTGGAGGTTGGTGGTGGATGACCAAGTTTGGTGCTGGGCTATTCAACAGGATTCTGACATACACCCCCTCAGACCCGGCATGGGCTCAGTAAGAAAATGTCTGAGATTTGTGGTGGGGCCATGTGATCACAGTGAAGGGGGAAGATCAGCTTGCTTAGATCTGCGGTATGAATCTGAAATACTGCTAGTGGTGGGGTTGGCCTGGCCTACCAAGCCACACTTCTAGTTCCGTCGATGAATTTGCACTTTGGGATTGTGTGGCCACAGCTCTGGTCGTTCAGCTCATGCCGGCTTCCCAACACCTTGCCCAATTTGTCAAATTAATACGCAAGTTGGCAGGGACAAGTGGTTCCTGTTGTTGCAGCCCTGACAAGATGCAAGACACATCTAGGGACTTCCTCACGTCTCCTTGATTGGGCAGATGCAACGCGATGCCAGTAGCCAACAGCTGCCCTCACGTTGGGGCCCGCACTGCAGCTGAAACTTCCAACCTCATCCGCTGGCCGATATCGGTGCCTGCAAAAGAGTCGAACAGCTTTAAGTTCGAAGCGTTGAACATCCACACCGGAAGCTGAAAACAATGCCTACATCATGCCAGCATAGAGTAAACGGAAGATGCAAGCGTCAGGAACGCAGCAGCCCCAAGCCACAAGATTAAATCACGCGCTTAGCCACATGCGGATAGGATGATTCGATCTCATTCAGCCTGAGCGATACTTCCCAAAATGATCCTGCAGTAGCAAGAGGTATTCTAGAGGGGACATGGTGACTCACGGAAGGCTTCCCAAAAGTCCCAAACCCCCGATTTCATGTGCCAATTGATAATTGACCAACTGAGGCATGCTGACCATGGTGGTCTGCCTCCCACGCAATTCTGCACCGATGGGTTTTGCTATTGCCGCAGAAAGCTGGCTCTGACTTACAGGGAGTGTCAAAATCACATCTTCCTGGATTCCTGCTGGGTGTTATTTGGTAAGGATCTTACATGAAAGAAGAGCTTTGAGCTTGGGTTACGTTGGAATCTCAGCATTCAAGACGTTCAATGGCTGCCCTTTTTTGGTGCGCTCTTTGGACTTCGTTAGGAAATCGCAGAAGGCAAAGTCTCGGTTGAATGCTTTCACCTACGTGGGGTGCAACTCCCGTCACCTGCACATTTCATAGAACACCCGGTTTTCGCGACGTGGGCCTCACCTTATATCATGCGTCCCTGACCCAAAAGCTGGCTTAAAAACAAAAACAATCATTCTGAGTACAGGGTTTCTGTGTATGAGAAGTTCTTGCCCTTCGCCGCCACAGCTGATCATCCTAAACTCCTAAAGCAAGCTTCAACCCAACACACGGTAAGGAAAGACTGTCAAGCCGGACAAGAACCAGCGAGCCGCGATGCAAACCATGACGCAGCTTGCCTTGCTTCAGTTGTCCAGATGTTGGCATATTTGCACAAATGGGTCATTCTCGGATTTGGTACAGGTTAAAGTACATGGCAGAGATGGAAAGGAGAGCTTATCCATGACAGGATCAAGAGACGTCCTCCAATTCAGAAGAGAGATGCAAGGCCTTTTCTGTAACAAGCCCTCAAACAGCCCTTATAGATCTTAGCAAAGACATCTTGATCTTCTTGTCGAATTCAGAGAGTTCCTCCTAGTCGTGGTAGGAGACGCTGAATTTCCAAACATTCTTTTCTAAACAACTGGGTCCCGCATATCTGCTACTACATAATGTAGGGGCCGGATTACAAAAGGGGGTCGTATTAGAGCTAAATCCGAGCTGAACGGATAGTAGCAATTCTGCAGAAAAATATACACAGTTTTTAATTGCATACATATTAAAGCCTTGCATTTCAGATTGCATTCCCTATTATATTTATAGTCAAGCCTTTCTTTAGACGCCACTTCC